TTTTTATCATAACTTTGTATTACGATATCCTATTGAGGCGATGCAAAATGCGTTGGAAAGCTAACTCATCTGGCTACAACTTTAATTCAGACATCATTCTGCAATTCGATAACTTCCTATGCCAAAAATAAGTCTCAATATGAGACTAAAACACCGGAGTATAACTTTTCGGTTAGAAATTGATTTGTGATAATCTTTTGACTAAATTTGATCCCCTTGACATCTTCCTTTATCCAATTGACTCCGAGCACTCTCAAATCTTCATCGTGAGATTCTGCACAACTTTTAAATATTTACATTTTAGCCCCCGAACTTTGGATCCCTTACAATTGAGTCATTTCTCCAAATTTGTCTACTTTTGCTTATTTTCTTCAATCTCACCAACTTACATCACAATATCAAAATCACACATCTAATTATTTATCAATTACATAAACATTACATCATTAATTATTTATAGGGTGTCTGTTTCTGCTTTTCAGTAGAAAGCATGCCGTTGGCAACACAATTCATGCCGTTGGGAGCCGCAATTTTGGACCAATTCTCTCACTGTATGGCTGTAGTTTTGAAAAAAAAACGATAACATAATCAATTTTTCATCCTCCTTGCAGCGCGCCCAGACACGCCCTTAATTAACAAAAAAAAAATTACATCTTTATTAATAACAAACTAATTATTAAACAAAAATATTAAATATAAATTAAGCAAACGTGTATTACACGTTGCTTGCATCTAGTATTGATATGTACGACAATGTCACAATACAAACATAAATTGAATTTTTCCAAATTTCTTTCTAAAGAAGTATTATTTTATAATTTTTATTTTTATTTTTGTCTTTTATCTTTTAAAAAACAATATTATTTCCTCTAATCCTGTTGTTTTCCGCTCACGATCCCAGAAAACATCTTCTGAAATGGCTAAGACCCTCCAACTTCCCATTATCGACCTCGCTTCCTCCGACTGCACCTCCACCTCTTCCTCAATTCGTCAGGTCTATTCTTTTGCCGCTGTTATTTGATGCATAATCCTGTACAAAAAATTGATTTGCTATATGGAGTCTCCACTTTGTTCTAGCTTTTTTGTTTCTATTGGGCAATGTTTGTTGTGTGGAAGAATAAGAAAGTTGGCTTCTTCACATTAGTACACCTTTTTAAGCTTAGCCAAACACGCTGATTGAATTTGGTGTTCTATTTTACCCCCTGTTTGACCCCGATAATAGATTTTGTAAAAAGGTGCTTTTTTGGAGAATGTGTTGTTAAAAACTAAGGAAAAATTTTGAATTTACGTGTAAATTTTGGTTGAAAATGAGTTTGAAATAATTTCGCTGGATAATATGTCTTGATTAAAATGGTTTATTGATATCCCACATAGTAGTTAGTGTGTGTGATAAATAACTGATATGTTGATAAAAAATAAAAAAAATACAAGAGTTATTAGCGCACATTCAATGCTAAAATCTAAACTAGTACATGCTAAGGAGATGTTTATAGCAAAACTAAATATTTATGCATATGTACTCTATGTATGATTTCTTGCAATCACTTAGCCCGTGTATGGCTAATGTTTATAATAGTCAAACTACTTTTTATCCACATATTTTGTGGGATCACGAGTACTATCTACTTATCCACAACTCGTTTCTATCTATGAGTTAGACCACTTATGAACACTGCCCAAACAAGAATACATGTATGCATGTTCGCATAGGTTAAAGGATTAATCAATTAATGTTTAATATTTGAATATTTGCTTGCAATAGATTGTATAATGTTGATGAAATACTATTCCTTTGAGAATGATCATGCTGTACAAGTGTTTTGTCATCTGTTTATGATAGTAAATTTTGTCCTGAGGTTTGCTGGCATTGCCAAGAGTTTTTGTTAGTGGGATGGGGTCATTTGATAATTTATCATCGTGTCAAAATTTATCGCTAAATAGAATGGATTCGTTTCGATTCATAATTGTTTAATTTAATATATGTATAAAATTTCTAGACTATTCGGAAAAATCTTATGTTGCGGAGAACAATATTCTACTCGTATACAGAAACATCTAGTATAATATTTTCCATGGTACATATCTTCAAGGGTATGCACTCATTCTTACAAAAACTCTCTCTTTAAAAGAAACTGCTCCTTCCAATTCAAATAAAATTTTAAAATATCTATGAAAAGGAATGTGAACCATAAAAATCAGAAGTGACAAGCTTTAATTCTTTGTACCTCTTAAGAGTTAAGAGTGTGTTTGTTGCATATTTAAAATTAGAGAATGCATTTTTTTGAAGTGATGTGATGGGGAATATGTGGTTGATAAAGAAGGAAAAGTTATTGATATGATGAAAAATATTATTTTATTGAAAAATGTGTGATTGAAAATGAGTAGAAGATTGAAAATGATAATTTTAATATAGCTCAAACATGGACTAAATAAATATTCAACTTTAAGGAAAAGTTATTGATATAATGAAAATATTATTTTATTAAAGAATGTGTGGTTGAAAATGAGTAGAAGAATGAGAATGAGAAAAATAATGTGGCTCAAACAGTGGCTTAAAGACTTGCATCCATTTCCTATTTCATTTTTATATACAACTTAACATGCTCAAGGTCTTCAACAATTATCTTCTCTATTATATGGCGCTCATATTTCGTTGCTTGAAAGGTTATGTTTTCTTGAAAATGTGTTCACAGTAAGAGTAGTTTTGTAGGCTTGCGTGAACTATGGTTTCTTTTACCTTATTAATCATGGAGTGGAGGGAGACTTGTTACGTGAAGTGCTTGAAGGGAACAAATTTTTTTTCGAACTCCCCCTTGAAGAGAAGATGAAACTGGCTCGCAAAGAAAATAGAGGTTACACACCACTATATGCTGAAAACCTTGACCCATCTTCCAGTGCCAAAGGTTTCTCTCTTGCTTTGTGACTTCTGATATAATTTACTTGCATTTTTTTATATTCTTTTAGTAAATAGTGATTAGATGCTCTTAAGTGAAGGATGTTGTGTACCATTACTGAATTACATCCTTGTGTGCATAAATTTATGGCAAGTTAATCTGCATGGATAGTAGCTCCCAAAACATTCCGACTGATTATCTAGATGAACATTATTGTGCATTCAACCTATTTTCTGTTCGAGATTTTTTATCCATGCAAACCTATTCAAAAGTTCAGTTGTACAGTAACTATTTCGTATTCTGATTTGAGATGGCATTCAAGTGGCACCAACTCTGATGTAAGGTCAATAGTTAAGTTAATCATGATATGATCAAGTACATTCTGGTCGTTTGAGACCTTACAATTGGTATTGGTCTCCGAAATATTTGAAGATACTCTCGGAAAAGGTTTACTTGTTACTAGTTTAGCCTATCCCATCTGAATGCATAGTTTAGAAATCTAGTTTATGTTCATTTGTAGTCAAGCCATTGGTTTGAGATGACTATATATTTGTCTTATAAGTAACCAAAATAGTGGTTTTCTTTCTGTTCCCTAGTACTTTTGATATCAAGGACGATATGGGCACGAGTTATTTGTGTACTAATCAATTGTGACTGAGCCATGTAGAACTAAGCTCTGCACTAACTGTTCTCCATGTCAAAATAAATTTCAGGTGACTCAAAAGAAAGCTTCTACATTGGACCTCTTGAAGACAGTACACGTGGATACTTGAATCAATGGCCACCAGATGGTGCTTGCATTTGCCTAAGTTTCCATCTTTTTTTTCTAGATATGTCAATATTACTATTGGATTTTTTAAATTTTTTAATGCTGTATGACAACTGCAAATTTTTCTTGTTGAACACCCCATGTGTGTCTTTATCTCTTTGTCAATCCTTTGCCTTGCTTGTAATATCAAATTTTATTATCTTTATTTGGGTGTGCATTTGGGGGGTGGGGAGGGATTTCTTCTGAATATTTACAGATGTGTATATTCCTCATGGTCTCCAGAGATTCTGCCATGTTGGAGATCTACCATGGAGAAGTACTACAAAAAAGTCCTGTAAGTGTTGTAAAAATTTATAATCTTCCATAACATTATCTCCTTACTTAAATGGATGACAAATCATTCTTACTAACCAGTATTTCATGCAAAATAACGTACCATTCCATCTACATAATACATCCATGCATCTGAATGCCTAACGACTAATTATTTTTGATCAACGACCCTAATCGAAATGCATACTTTGTACTATCAGGAGTAGCAAATACAACAAGTACACTAATCAATAAGATTGATGTGGTAATTAATTTAAAAACGGCCAACTGGAAAAAAAGAGTCGAAAAATGTGAATAAATAAATAAATCAAGTCATACTCATAATTGTTAATCATTTGGAACTCTGTTAGTACCTCTCTAATTATTTGTATTTTCAAAAGAAGCTTGTTTGTGAAATTGCTTTGCTGAATTGTATTTCTAGAAATCTTTGATTTTTCATCAAATGTTTTTTATTTTTTTTATTTTGAGTCAGTGTCTGTTTCTATATGCTTGAGATGCATGAAAATTGCCACCCCATGCATATTGGGAAGCTATTTTGATGGAGTTACTGACTTATTGCAATCTTGCTTTTAGAAAGCGTACCTTCTTGTCATTTATTATTTGAAAAATTAGTCTCAGGGAGAACTAATGTGGTTTATTCTGGTTTTACTGCCTTAGGGAAGCTGGAAAAAGACTCATCTCGTTAGTTGCATTGGCACTGAACTTAGAGGAAAACTTCTTCTATGACATTGGGGCATTAGATCAACCAAATAGTTTTCTTCGCTTGCTACACTATCCAGGTTTAGTATCTGAATTTTTCATCTTTATATATTAGCTTGATCGTTTTCATTCAGTAACTTGAGAGCAGTGCCTCCCTCCTTTGCACTCTTTTATGTGGAGAGAATGGAATCTTGTTGTCTGTCATTGTTCAAAAATATATTCTGTTTCAGTAACTTGACGAAAAATGCTCAAGGTTCTTTTCTATAACCAAATGTATTGTTCTCCTTCTTCTTTAGATACTTTATTTTATTTACTTGACTATAGCTAGTAGCCATTTTTATCTAAAGTCATCTTATGGATTGATCCCCCATTCAGTGAACTTTGGCCGTTCCTGCTGCCTGCCCGTTTTACAAGCCTATACTGCCTTTACCACTCATCTGGCTACTAATTATGTCTTAGTCAGTCACTTTCGGCAAACCACATCTGATAATTGACGATATGCAGAACAGTCATTGAAATTGGAATTCAAGTGGGACAACTTCCGTAAGCAACGAAAAAACATGACTTCTAGATAGAGCATTGATTACCAGAGAGAGGAATTAGATGTAAATTGATATATATTTCCAATGTAAGGTATGTTTTTTTCTCAGTGGATTTTCCTGGATCCAAGCGTGACTGGAAGCCCATTTTTTGTATCCTGTCATGTACCTGCAAATAGAAATACAACTGCTTATTCTAATTACAGCTAGTAATGCAATAATATCTCTGAACAACTATACATTGACATAGCTAAACAATCTATCTTAAGAAAGTGAGTTAAGTAATAACTAATAACATTGTCATATATTCCAACAGTTATATAGCAGGTTACTAATACCCATCTTGTCATAACTGATAGAAGAGCTTTTAAGGATCACCTTTGATAATTAAATATGAAGTATTTTGAAGTGGTTCAAATATAAGCACCATTCACCTTCTCCAAATTGTATGAGCTCTCTTTCACACAGTCTTTTTTTTTTTTATAAATGGAATTTCACAATCGCATATAAACATTTGGTTACATGTAAATCACATGGAGAATTCATTGCATACCTGTATTTGTATGGGTCCAGATATGGATCTCTTGGTTGCAGATTCAGCAGGTAGTTGGATTAGATCGGTGTATATGTTATGTTATTTGGATCTGGGTCTTGATTCCCCAATTCTCATTCTGATTCAATCCATTAAGAAGCCTAAAATTCTTGTTGTTGCACTATAATTTTGGTGGAGTAGGTTCTGGGAAAATCTAATGTACAACTAAAGCATAGGCAGGTTAAAAATCCAGCAATTGAACATTGAAAGAGACATGCATGTCATCAGTTCTTTTCACACAAGACACATCAAGAGATGGGGACTTAAAAATGTAATTTGAAGTTTATATACTTCAATGAGGTCTCTTTCTTTGGTCTGGCAACCAGCTCGGATTGCAATCCTGGAGCATATTGAGTAAAAATGAATTTAGACCCAAAAAAAAAAAAAGAAATTCACAATTTTAATGTGATTTTGGTGGGCGGATGCGAGTTTTTTCATTGATTTAGTTTGCTCATTATTTTACAGGTGATTTGGGACTTGTTGATGAAGAAATGTACGGTGCTTCTGCTCATTCAGATTATGGAATGATAACTCTTCTGGCAACAGATGGTGTAGGTGGACTTCAGGCATGTTAGATTTATACGCAGTCTAATTCACAGCTTTGACTTTATTCACATAAATGTTTCACTTATCAATTAACTTTCACATTGTTGACAGGTTTGCAGGGAAAAAGCTAAAGAGCCACGGGTCTGGGAAGATGTACATTATGTCCCTGGGTTTGTTCATGATTCTAGTTTTGATTTATTGTCGTATTTTGATGCCTTTGATACAGCATGATTTCCATGCTAATCAACATTTAATGGCCAGGTTAAATGAATCAATCACAAAAAATGTGAAAATCACTTGTACTTTGTTTATTTGGATTTGTTACCAATGATACAATGTATGGGGGAAATTGTGCTCATTTTTTGAGTGTTTACAATTGCAAACGAATATTGTGCTCATTGCGTAAGCTAAGTTGTTAATGTTGGGGAAAATCGTAGCTATCATGATTATCATGAACGAACATAGTCCTTTTTGAGGCTGATGAAAGGAATTATTTAAAGCTTGTAAATCAAATTAACAGCATTATGGCCATCCAACTTGCATTGTAACGGAAATATAAACAAGGATTGGATTTGGGAAGAGCGAGGAAAAGTGTAACTTGAAAAATGATGTCACCCCAGCTTATATGATCCATCAGTTTTAAGGGCGATGTCCGAAATATCTGGGAAAAAGTAGTCATTTAAATGAAAAATGCACATGCCTATTCCTTTATCACTGCAAGTGTTCATCATCATAACACAAACAGTAGTTGTATAACGGTAAAAAAGAAAACACTTCAAGAATTTGTGTTGTTACGAACTCCAAGTTTGGTATTTGACGCATTAATCTTTCACCATGTAATGAAGGATTAAATAATATTTAAATTTCAAAGATAGAAACTGAGCTTCAAATGCAATTTCTTCGTTTAGCTATATTCTGTTGTATGTATATATGCGGGAAGTGCAGTTTCCCAAATTTTTATGTTTTGTAATTATGGAGTGCAGGGCCTTCATTGTTAACATTGGTGACATGATGGAGAGGTGGACAAATGGTTTGTTTCGGTAATTTATCACCTTGACAAATCAAAAAACATTTTTTTTATGCAATTCTTCTTACATACTTCATAAAGATAAGCTTGCTTTCCTTTTGTCTGTCCCAAGTTATAGACAACTTTCCTTGTTGAGAGTATAGATGATTTTTTAGTTTTCTAATATGTCCCTATTTAATGTGTTTTGTTATCGACAAAATATGAAACACTCCTATTTAAAAAATTATTTAATATAGGGGTATATTAGGAAAAATGTAAGAAAAAATTGTTATGTCCAACTACATTAATTACATTTTATTGATCTGTGTGAAAATAGAAACAACGAACGGAGTACTGGATATTGGTGCGTTTGAAATGAGTTGTTCAATTGGGTCGATATTAACATTGCTTAGAGAGATCAAAGAAATCCACTTCATTTTTCTTCACACTGCTATTCTCTATGCAGGTCAACGTTGCACAGAGTAATGCCAACAGGACAAACGCGGTACTCGGTAATCATTTCTACTCTTTGATCTCCATCTTTTGTTCACATTGGCATTCATGCTTTATATATCACTGGTTTTATGTATTTTACTAAGGACCAGTGAATCAACGTTTAAAAAGATGACACAATGTTCATATCATTAATTTCCCCTGCACCTTTGATTTGGTATCCGAGGCCATTTGGCGATGACTATTGTCTACTCGATCTCTAATCTGCAAGGTCCTTCTGAATCTATTACACACACGCGCCTGATGTTCCATGGTTCGAGCTTTACTTGTTTTTGATACTCAGTGAATTCATTTCTTATGCCAAAGTTATGTATCCCAACTGTTGATAAAGTGTAGATTTTATGTCGGCTCTTTTGACCAATCTTGGAATGTCGGGAAATTTACTTGACAATGGCTGCCTGAGTTTTCATTCTCTTATTTAGCTTTCATTGTAATAACTGTGTATATGCTGACAATTTTGGTTTTTTTATGCAATTAGTAGATGGCTTTCTTTTTGGATCCCAATCCAGATTGTGTTGTGGAATGCCTTGAGACTTGCTGCAGTGAATCATATCCTCCAAGGTATATGAACATGTAAACTTTGATAGAAAAAATATTGTCCTTCAAAATTATGAAATGAAATACCTTAATTGAATCAAAGTAAAAGGTTCTTTCTGTATATTTCCACGTGTTGATTGTTTCCTTCCTGTCTAATGATGCTTATGGTTTTGACTGTTCACAGATTTCCGCCAATCCGCAGCGGAGACTATCTGGAAGAGCGCTTCAAACTTACATATGGCTCGTGACATATTGGAGCATGTCTGTCTAAGCTTAGAAGTAAGTCAAACTTGTTTTTAAGTAAACTTTTGTATCAAATATGTTTTTTTTTATTGCTTTTTAGTGAGAAAATTTTATTCATTTCGACATTAAGTGAGGGTTACTAGCAACTTACTTCAGTTACTTGTTTCAAACTTTGATCAAGAAGAAAATTATTTAGGCTTTGTTTGGTATACATTATTTTTTCATTCTCATTCTTCTACTCATTTTCAATCACACATTCTTCAATAAAATAATATTTTCCATCACATCAATAACATTTCCTTCATTTTTAACCACACATTCTCCATCAATCTACTATTCAATAATACATTCTTTCAAAAGAATGTGTCCCAAACATACTCTAAAAGTAATATTCTTATCTATACCTCGTTTATATCAAATTTTACTCATTTTCAATCACACATTCTTCAATAAAATAATATTTTCCATCACATCAATAACATTTCCTTCATTTTTAACCACACATTCTCCATCAATCTACTATTTAATAATACATTCTTTCAAAAGAATGTGTCCCAAACATTATTGTAAAACTTACATATTTACACAAGTAAAGTTTTCAAACGGACCGTGCTACATTTACAATCAAATTGTACAGTCACTTACACAGTCCCCATTGTGTAAGTGACTGTACAATTTGACTGTACATTTAGCATTTCCCTAGACAAACAAGTAGTGACTTTTTTTCCTTGCAAAACTCAATTTTTGAAAGCAATTAGCAAATTCTAAACACAATCAAACATGCTAGGCTCGTTCCATCAATAATTAATTAATACACGAAACTCGCTCCATTCTATAGCTATGAAGGGAAAGACTGGGTTTTCCTTTGTCTGAAGAAAGAAAGAATTCTTGGTATTTTATTCTCAATGTATATTGAGTTCAAGAATTTAACTCCGTATTATTTTGACGACTAGTCGTCAAGTTCAATAAATATTAGCTTAATCCTTTTCGTTTGATGGAGGGACAATCAATGCATTAGTCGTCTCTTGTTACTAGGTACATGTATCGTTGAGCTTGAAAATTTTAATATTTTTGTTTGTGAGATTGAAAATTAATAAATTATTTTTCTTAAAAGTAACATTTACTTACGGCCAAACCAAGTATTTTTTTATTTATAAATAAGAAAATGGTTGTAAGTATTTCTTTATTATTTGTTTAATCGGTTGTGCAACATTTATATAATGATTTACTCTTCTTTTTTTTTTAAGAGGGAAAACATTTCATTCATCTTCAAAATAGCAAGTTTCGAATACAAGGAGTTTCTTCCAACACTATTCTTTTCTCAGAGAGTTTGAGTGCTTCATTTGCTAATATATAAGCGACCAAATTAACATTTCTAGGTATATGACTTACAGACCAGGATTGAAAAAAATCGAGCATACTCTTCGTGTTCTGGATCAGTAAACATGGGTAGTTCCAAAATTTCGATTCTCCATTAAGTCCCTTCACAACGTTCAGCGCATCTCCCTCTAATATGATCGATCGCAACTCAAGATGTTTACACAATAACGCGGCTTTCATAACTGTGATGGACTTAGCTAAATGTTTATGTACACATGATAATCTGAAATATGATTAGTGAGCTGGCCAAGCTCGCGGCTCGGGCTGAGCTTCAATTGGGGCGTTGGCCCAAGCTCGGGCATCGAGCTACACGGGTCGGCTCGTGTCATGGGTTATTTTCGGCTTGTGACGAACCGGGCATTAAAACATAAATAAATAAAATTTAAAACCCAGTTACAGGAAGCTATTGTGATATTTTTTTTAGAAAAAAAGAAAAAAAAAATCGGGAGCTAGTTCGACTTGACATGGTCCGAACCTAAATTTTTTGGCCGAGCAAAAGCTTGGCTCGAACCAAAAAAAGTCCGAACCATTTTACTCGAGTTGAACTCAAGCCTCAAGTTTCTGCTCGTTGACATATCTATGATTAGATCAAATTTTCTTCCACCAAATAAAAAAAAAATCTCAATATCTTTTTGACACTTCATTTGTATAAAAATCATTATGTACAAATAGCATTATTCTTATTTTTAAAATACATGTTTGAAAAATGAGAGCAGTTATTTGCCACCAAAAATATGTTCGTGTAGGGCGAACTGAGGGTTTACTTTCAAATGTCCAATGAAATTGTCACCTAGATTGTTTTGAGCAATATTTGTACTGCATGCGAAAATCTATGCATGCAATTATTAGGGAGATGAAGCATGGGATGGGTTGAAATTAAAAAATAAAATAATAATTTTTATTTGTTATATAAAAATATATTTATTTGATCACTTACTAGAACGATTAGTCATTAATTAGTTAACCCCCTATTTGGTTTGAGTTAGAAAAACTGTTTAAAATTTAAATTAAAGTCAACAATTATTTGTAATCACACATTTCATAAGATTCAAAACTTTTCAACAATTCATTTCATTAACTGTTATCAAAATGGACTAAAAATCTTATTTTTATCTAAACCAAAGGAGACCACGAGTATACATGTTCTAAATTAAAGAAACTACACAAAACATACAATAGGTATATTTTTTAATTTCGTCTACAACGATATACTTAGTATAGGTATTTTTATTATTCAAACCCTTTTCTTACATGCATACGTAGTTCCACATTGTTTTACTCTTTCATTACGTTGTTTTATTAGTCAAAGAAGTAATTTTTTTTTTCCCGATATTTAGAAGTAGGAAAAATTTAGAAGTATAAATTGTTTTTTTCGATGTGTATTTAAAAGTAGGGAAAAAAATGAATATAAGTGCAAAATTATTTTAATAGAAAAATGTATGACTTAAAATGAGTTTTAAAAAAAATGATACTTGTACACATCGTGATGTATACCCAACAAGTCACTAATTGATTATCTCTATTCTAGATGATTATGCAATCAATTCAGTTAACTTATGTTTGAATACCGCGGACTATAAAAACAGTAAATAAAGCAATAAACGATGCAGGTATGATCATGGAGAAACACCAATTGGATAAAAACTCCGAACATTTTACCAGTCAACAATTCATTATAAACGATTTATAACTTACAGTCTACCGACTAGACGACGACACGTACTATCCGATCTCCTGATTGCAATTTCAACAGCTCTTTTGAATTCTATGCTCCTGCACCAACTCCCAACTACAGTTTCCAAAACTCTCCTAAATTGAACTTTCCTACAGAAACTCCCAACTTTGTGAAATTGTCCATCTCATGTGGATTCAAGAAGAATACCGCGTTTTTTAACGATTGGAACTCCAGTCACCTTCCTTTGATCTTCAAAAACTCTGACAGATATGAAAGAAGCAGTAGTTTGGTATTTGGATTCTAAATCTGATGTTTTTCTCACCGCCAAGAACAGATCATTATGTGATTAATGAAGGTTGAAGAATAATTGATGAAGAGAATATGAAAAGATAGGTGTTTGCTTAATGATGAACCTTGAAAAAAATCATTTTGTGGCATTTGGATATTTATATGTAGGTTAGGGAATGAATGAGCCGGACAAAAAACCTTTAAAAACGAATTAAAAAAATTCCTGGATAGCACTGTCGCTCGATCGAAAGGTGAGCAACAGGTTGTTGTTCGAGCGAAGGCAAGGCAACAAATGAGCGATGTAGTTTCTGTTTCTAACGCTTGAGCCAAACATTGGTGATAAGCTAGCGATATTCCGGCGCTATTTTTCCTTCTTTTCCATTCTCGAACCCTAGACCTAAAATATCACAACTTTCATTAATTGCACACTACTCCTTAACATTTTACAACATATCAATTTTAGTCCTTTTTGTTCACAGATTTGCCAATTATATTAAATACCTAACAAGCTCCCTATTTGGCATTCTGTGACAAAACTACAATCCAAGTCAAGACAGTAGTAAATTAAAATTATATACTAAAATCAATTGACACAACCAACAACTGTTTTGAACGAATTCTGCATTTCATTTTTCAATATCTGTTTCCTGAAATAGACAACTCAAATACCTAGTGTAAAATGTATCTGAAACAGTATTAAGTTTAAAAATAGTTCAGCAGTTCACAGTGTAAAAGCGATTTAAGCAGTTAATAACTCATAATGCAACTTTTTAGTTTCATATCATATACTAAATTAAGATGTAATATCAATGCAACCCAATATAACAAAACGAAACATTAATGCTACTAAAACATCAAAACTTAATCTAACAAAAACTTAAAATATATCATATAATCAGAATCAAACGATTTAGATATATCAAGTAGATAAAAACATATACATCTTGTTAAAGCAAGAATATCTACTCTATACACATTTACTCCCCCTTTTTGTCACAAAATGATAAGGAGAATCCAAAACTAATCAGCATTATCAGAATCAGTCATCTCCTCTGAAACTGCATCATCATCCCAGTGGCGACGAGTCCATCGAAGCCCACGCTCAAGATATCCAATAGCACCCCGATAGTGTGTCGATCAACTGTAGCCCATAGCTGTGTAAGCTCTGCCATCATCCGAGCCTTGACTCGATCAGTACGCTCATCTGTCCCATAAGAGAAACAGACGGGTCAATGGGAACAGACTCGATAGGGGGAGGAGCAGACATGGATGTCGAGGGAATATCAGCAGGTGGAAGAGCAGAGGAAGTAGTAGGGAAATCGGATGGATCAATAGAGATAAGATCATCAAAATGATCAACAACTGGCACAGTCGGATCAACTGGCTCAGAAGAAGCATGTGACCTACTCTGAGTAAAAGTAGTGTGGCCAATTGGTCGAAAAACCCTCCGAGGAACCCCCTCAGGAAAACTAATGTCAAGTGCTGTCACAAGATGATAAATAAGACAGGCATAAGGAAGTCTCACCCGAGTCCCCATGACATGAAAGGTACGTAAAATTTGCTAACATATGAAAGTAGGCAGATCAACAGAGTCGCCGTGCAATAGGGCGTACAAAAACTAAGTCATTTCCATAGGTAAAGAAGAAGTATGCGACACTGGCC